AAAGGGAAAAAATAGTTGAAAAGGAAGTATGCACCACTTCTAAAGGTAATTCGTTTGAACTAAACACGAAAAAAAAGGAAAAGGAAAAGAAAATAGAGAAAAGAAAGTAGGCCAAGTTTGCTCCTTCCATTTATCAATATGTTTTACAAAAACTGAAATGCCTTTTTTCACTTTTTTGTCACACTGTTAATCCCACTGTAAGCTCATGTCGAATCACATAAAAGTATGCATGGTTATTTTTGTTGTGTTTTTGCACGAGATTGTCACTTCTTTTTTTTTCTGGCCGGAACGGTATGTCCCTCCAGCAGGGACTGAGAGTGAATACCGAACTGAATGAAACCCACACTGGTTTGTTAGCTTAAGTATTGCTGGCTTGTTGTTGTTTTTTGCAGTTGGCATAGTTGGGGGTAGCCTTGAGACACAAGAAACACATGGTTCACCGGCGGCTGTTGAATATCATACATAAGGGTCTTTGTGATTTAAGCAGCTTTGATGCAGACCCAGCGCAGAGCCGTTTCCCTCATTATTTCTCGCTATATTGTCGAAAAGTGGGTGGGGTGGGTTTACAAGCATCCTATGAGAACTCTCCAATTTTTGCTAGTACTCTCGAACCTGCTCTAACGACCACCTATACAAACGTCCACCCCCATACCCTTTTGCGCTTGCTTTTTTTCCTTATCATAATGAGACAGTCCAAAAAGACCACCTGTCTAAGATGATCATTTTTACGAATCAACTGTGGGTGGACATCTTGGACAGGCTTAATTTTACAAGCATTCTGTACTGAAGCATGGCAATCAGACTGCTGTTGAACCTTACTGCGTCGCTCACTTGGCTGTGCTTTCTGCTCAGGTCAGTATATCCATTCTCAAAACCTCTATTTGCGTGGACTTCGGCCACAGCCAAAGACACTGCCATGACCACACAAGAGGCATGAGAATCCCGTGCAGTCGGTATACCCTCTCACATAGAACGTCCACTATAAAACCCACAGTGTTGAACATTGACACAACACTCAGTTTTCAACTTTTCAACTGCGAGTACTTCAGAGCGCAAGAGGTGTGTGAGTATAGTACAGCTTTTTACAAGTGAAACAGGCATATTCTTTCTAAAACGTAGATCTACATACACAATGACATCTTCTCTTGTTGAAGAAGGTTCTCTCAAGCCCTCTATATTAGAGCTGTGTTGTTTGTGCCTGTGTAGCATGTATGATCTTTGTTCTGGAAATAATTCTTAAGTACCGTCGATAACCATGTTCTTTGTTCTGTTGAGATATGAAATAATCTTTCTTAGCATTGAAGGTAAGAAAAATCCACCCTCGACAAAAAGCAAGTAGTTGTTCAACACAAGGGCAAAATAAGAACTAGTAGCTACGACATAACATTTTAGAATTGCCCAATGATCGTATCTTTGTACCTGATTGCAATTTTTTAAAGCCTTGTCCTGTCGCCTGTTTGGCATGAGCGTATCGCGTTTTAATATCCCCCCCCCCCTTCTACTGATCCTAAAGAGTAAATTGACGACCATGGACTGCAATATTTAGACTTGATCCAAACATTTTATTATTAATTCGTCCCCAAACATCCTAAAATCATCAGCGAGAAACTTCTCCAAAATATTTGTTTGTTCTCTTACTTTGCCAAGCCGGTTTTTTTTTATTGTTAAAACCACTTGGATGTAAACAAATTTACAATTTTGAAATTATCGGTTTTTAGCGAAGAATGAAATTATAATGCTGGATTTTAAACCGTACGTAAAGGTGAAATCATAGTCAGAAATTTATTCTATCTTCACATCGTACTCCATACTACAGGCAGTAGGCAGTGAGACAAAGTTTGTGCTGCTGTTACATAGACTATTACTCGGTTAACATTTGTGCGAAGTGTGAGGGTGGGTGGGTTGTGGGGGTGTGTGGGCTGTGAGTGGGTGGCGTGGATTTCCTCTTGATCAATACTGGAAAAAGGACCTTTCTCGATAAGCCTATGTCAGGACAAGTTCATGTGCGCAAAAGACTCTCCCCTGTTCTTTGTGTCATTCAAAGTCAAACGGACAACATAAAACACAGAATTAATTCTGAAATTATAAAAGCAGAATGTATCCATGCAAACATAAAATAAAACCTCATGATTCTTCGAATTATTTACGTGCACCACTTAAACTCCTTTGCATATCGTCTCCAGATTTAGTGGGGGATACTTCGAAATGGCTACTGTTGCACGAGCTCTCTTCCTAATGGCTATTGCCATGATGGCAACACGGGGCAATACTGCCTCCTGTGACAGCAAACCTGGCAGACCGTGTCCGCGCATTTACAAGCCTGTGTGTGCCACCTTTACCAAGACGTTCTCAAACGAGTGCGAACTGGAACAAAGTCTCTGCCGTCTGGCTAAGGATGGCTTTCAGTACGTCGAGGTATTGAATTTGATTCTTCTAAAGCACATGGACACTTTTTAAGAAACGTGCAACCTTACTTATCTACGGACAGTAAGAACGTAATTACACTTTTGCAAGAACCATTCATTTGTCCAATATAAAAGTCCCACCAGACTAACCGTATTCGCTTGTTTTACTGGAATATTATAATCAAAGATTACTTGCTTACAAGGTGTGCGTCATTAACCCCGGAGTCTTGATTAGGATTCACAAAGGAGCACGTAACTAAAAGCCTAATAGCCTACTTTTCTACATTACACTTGTCATTCATGTCCGGTCATTTTCCAGTAAAGACAAGAGCGTCTTTATCTACAGTCGATCAACCACAAATCCAACTTGTAGTTTTTATAGATAGGAATCCAGTTATGCCTGTGTCGATACCGGTACTTTGTAACATTAATTTGTACTTCTTTATTACGTTTACAGATGTTTAAACAGATGTCTAGTAACATTAATTTATAAATGTATTTCCAGACCAGCAATTTAAAGAAAAAGCTTATTGTCCAAAACGCCTGGTATCCCCCCCCCCCCTTTTTCCGTATTTCCTGCTTTGTACAATAATACTCTTCAATACTCATCTTGTCGAGTTATATAATACAGATTTGTCGTGAATGTAACGTCCCCCCCCCCCCAACTGTGCCTCTACGATCTGCTGAAACCCAAGTTCAGACTAGGCCATATCTCGGAGGGCCCGTGTGCAAGTTGCGCACGTTAAAGATCCCTTGGTGCTTCACCTGTAGAAAGTTTACAGGCAGAAGAGCACGAACCATCTTTGGAACTAAGAAGGAAAAAACTCGCTTTGCAGTACGCTTTCAAACTTAGCTCAGTACCCCAAAACCCAGCCCACAAATGTCTTTGGCCTTCCCGAAGACCTAAAAACTCTATCCTCCTTAGGAAATATAGTAAGCCCTTTCGGAATAAGAATCCAGAACGATCTCAAAAACATTGATTTTTCTGAAGACATAATCGGGCCCCTTGCCATGTCCAGCATACCTCCATGGCATTTATCCAAACCAAACATAGATACTAGTCTTGAAAAACACAACAAAAAGTCTACAGACAAAACAACATACTTAAACTCATACAAACAGCTAATAAATAGATACCCTGAAGCAGAGAAACTCTTTACAGACGGATCCAAAAGGGACTCCTCAGTAGGAGCTGCTGCCCTTGCATCGCCACACAGCTTAAGCTTAAGGAAACCACCCAGAAGCTTCAGTCTACACTGCTGAGGCTACAGCTCTTGAAATGGCCCTAAATATTATAGATCAATCAACCAAGTCTACCTTCCTAATCCTTTCAGACTCTCTCTCTCTTGTCTGAAATCTTTAGAGCGCTCTGACACCTCCGACAACAGAATTCTGAAACTTATCATTCAACTGCATTTTCTACATCAGTCTGGAAAAACTACAATAGCTTGGCTTCCAAGCCATGTAGGCATTGATTGCAACGATGCCGTTGACCAATTTGCCAAAGAATCTCTAAAACTACCTGAAAACCAAAATAGTAAAATCCCTTTCTATGACATGAAACCGAAAGTAAAAGAACACATCACATCCTCCTGGTCCCAAATTTGGAATCAACAAATACACAACAAACTCCATTACATTCAACCGAAACTTACACCCAGGAAACCAATTTCTCTACCACGAAGAGAAAGTAATTTTTACCCGACTAAAAATAGGACACACGCACGTCACCGCACAAACATTTGCTGGAAGGAGAGGAAGCTCCTTTTTGCGTGGCGTGCAACACAAATCTCCTTAGTTCGGCACATCCTAATGGAATGTGTCGACTTTAATTATGTCCGTGATAAATATTTTAAATGTAAAGATATTAAAACCCTTTTTAACATCATAGAACCTAGAAGAATTTTAAGTTTTATAAAAGAAATTGGACTGTTTAATAAAATGTGAAAATATATAGTTGTCGTTGTCGGTGTATATAAACATACGGTGTATATATACATACACTGAAATTTGTATTGTATTTACAAATGTAAATAAGCCTTTTCCATATTTACAAAAAATTATAAATGTTTGTTCGTCTTTTTAGCATAATAGAAATAGTGTGATCGTTTGCGGTTGCGAGCTCCGAAAGACTCTTTATTAAAAACACGTCTGATTTTGTAGCGGTGAAACCTGATGGCGCTTAAATGACCAAAATTGTGTCGATAGTGCCGTAAAACATCTACCCAATCAATCAAAGATCCCTTGGTGGTCTAAAATCGACAAGAGTAGGCTTCGGCCGCCACCCGGGCAAAATTCAAAATTTCCTACCAACTGAAAATATTAGGTGTCCCGCGCGCTCATATGACCTTATGCAGTTGCGAGCGCCGTAAAACACTTTACAAAAACAAACAAAAAGACTAGGCCATTATTAGGGGCTATAATTTTCAGTCGGCGATTCACATGGTATCAGCTTGAGAACAGAACACAAAGAGCACAAAAGGCAATACTTTCAAGTAAGGACGGATTGAACAAAAATGGCAACGTTGATTTTCTACCCCCCCCCCCCCCTCCACAATTTCATTATCATGCAAGAACCTGGAAGATCGGTGCTGCTGTCGCAGACCAATAAAACTGGAACATGACCCCCAGTGTGGCTCTGACGGACATGTGTACCCTAACAAGGACGCCATGGAACTTGCAGGTCGGAACCACTCGTTATTTTTGCTGTTTCGTTCACGGACTTAATTATTGAGCGCACGAGTGCACGAGCACGCGCACGCGCGCGCACACACACGCGCATTTGTACGTATTTCGTCATGTGTACTATTTTATTAGGTAAACGTCTTTTCAAATTTGCTAATATGACCAAAGCTTAGTTGATAGTGCCGTAAAACAACTACTCAAATGTGCTAACGTGACGGGTATTTTAATACATCTACATTTTTATTTGTCGATCATTCAATAGTACAACCATTTCTAAAGTCAAGCATTCTAACTCAAGATAAATTTAAACTTTCACCACCTTCATTAGGAGCCTACACTTTTATTGCAAGTATGCAAATTGAAGTACCTAAATCGGGTTTTGACAAAACCATAAAAAGACTAAATAAACATAACAAAGACTAAATAAAGTCTACAGTAAAACTTCAATACACTTTGCCATGAATTGTTATTCCATTTTGAAATCTTTGTGCATTTCCTGATATCTTCTTGCTCTCAAGACTTGTTTTATTGCTTTCTGCAGAGTGTGTTAATCGCGATTACATCACTACTGAAGCCCCTGAGACGTGCCCAGATTTCCCAAGACCTGTGGATTCACACACGCCCAGATATAGCTAAACAAACTGCTGTCGCATCTTATTGTTATTCGCATACGATGGCAACTAAATGGCCATTTTGTCGATCAATAAAAGAAAATCAATGATATAGCATAAAGTGTTGACCCTTGATTTACCATGATTTGTGTATTGTAACTGCATTTTTGTTCGCACAATTTCTGTAATTGCTGTAGATCTAGGCTTTTTTCCGTTTTTCTTTTTAAACATTCTTCTGGTCACAAATAAGGCCAGCCTCACAAAGAGCTTCAGGCGGGTGAGACACGGGTTACGTGTGTAAGCAAGTGTTCAGTATAATTTAAACGGCACTCCTCACAAAAGCAGTTGCCCCACTCTAGTCACGTTGGAAAGCGTGTATTCACGTGAGGGGGTAGGGGATGTGCATGCTGATTCTTTTTTAGCCGTATCTTGTCGCCCCCTCCGTTGAGTTCTGTAGTGTTCTAAGAGTAGCCCTAGCTAACAGTCGAAAAAGCATGCAAGCAGAAAAAAGCATGCACAGACAATGAGGACACTAATGACATAAACGTATTATGACCTGTACAACGTAACATTTATTGTTCTTCATTCATAGTTTCTCGGTGGTGGTGGTGGTGGTGTGGTAGTGGTGGTAGTAATAGTAACGGTGGTAGTGGTGGTGGTAATAGTAACGGTGGTGGTGGTGGTGGTAATAGTAACGGTGGTGGTGGTGGTGGTAATAGTAACGGTGGTGGTGGTGGTGGTAATAGTAACGGTGGTGGTGGCAGAAGCAGCAATAGCTGCTACGACAATGGCAGTAAAATCATCACCATTAATCTCATTATGCCATCGTAATATTATGCGGGCAGTATTACCCCCCCCCCCCCCTGGAAAAGAAAAAGAAAATGCATACATGCATGATGCATACTGCATGCATGCAAGCATGTATAGATCTATATAAATAATATATAAATGAATAAATGAATAACAATAGTATACCCCAAATTTACATTCAACCAATATATATTAATACACCAGTAAATCTATAGCATTCTGAAGCAATCTCAACTTTCTGAGAAGGATATGTGCCTGCAACCATTTTACAAGCGGTAAAAAAACACTAACAATAACATATTGGCAAGACGTGCTAAACATCTTTTTTTTAACAAAATAAAAAAGCACAAAATCGACATCTTAAAAATCCTATAAAATGATAGCGTGAATATCTACTAGCATCTAGATATCTAGTACTAGTACGATACAATTGTAGCACCAACGACGCACTAAAGGGCCTATTACACGTACAGGCCGACCGGACAAGTTTTTGACCGTAGACAAGCCGTACGGCCAGATGAAATCGAGGAAACTTATGTTATTACACGCCACGATCTTCAAAGGCCAGATAGACGGACGTCAGATTCACAGGCAACGGCTGTGGGTTTTTTCATCCGGCCGGCCATTCGCCGGATGTTGAAAACATAGAATGCCGATTTCAGAGACTTGAATGAGTAAGCGCAGAAAGGTAGATTCTCTTATGATTTCCAGCTTGCCCCACATAGAACTGGCAGACTGCAGGCGGCTTTAAGCTCGGGTCGGCTTCATCGGAATCCAAAAGACCTCAAAACACCGTGCACGCTTCTCCCACGCTCCTTTTTCGGTTGCCTCCTTTTTCTCCGAAAAGTTGCATCGCCAAATTTTATTAACGAAGGATTGATGGCACGGCGCTATAGTGGGCGCGGAGCAGAAATTCAGCGTGTGCACTTGCTCCTGAAATAAAATTTTGAGCGTCTGCTGAGCGGCTGAACTGTTGTGGCGTGATTGTGTGGTGCGTGTTGGGTGTGGTCATAGTGAATTGTTGCATTTTGACTACAATGAAGTCGGAGGCATTTATACACGCAGTTGAAAAAAAGATGCCTTTATGACAAAGCAGATCAAAACTACTGCAACAGGGCCATGATATCGGCCGAATGGAAGAAAGCAGCCAACGAAGTTGGATGCGATGGTAAGAACTTTCTTTCTTTCTTTCTGTCTGTCTGTCTGTCTATCCGTCTGTTTGTCTGAACGTATGTACATTGTACAACGTGTATACTTGTTTCAAACTATAGGCCTACTTTAGCTTATTAAAAGAGATGCAATAACCCTTTTTAAATGAGAGCGTGGACTGATCAGACGTTATAGCATTTGCTGTTTTGCCATGGCAATGCACCCTGCGGTGACGAGAAATATCCCATGAAAGCATTTCTCACTTCCATTCCACTTTTGGTAGCTCTGCTCCTTATAACTTCTAGTCTGCCGAACGTTGGTAGGCCTGCTCGTGGCTCAACCACGTCATCCTCAATCATGTGCCGTAGCACCGATCTTCCAGGTTCTTGCATGATAATGAAATTGTGGAGCACTGTGATTGCCTTGACTGCATCTGTTGCCGACTCTGGCTGTTCATCCATTTGGCGCAGGAGTATGCACCATATTTGGGAAATCCTACCAAAAGAGCATTCAACTGAATTCCTCGCACGTGATAGGCGATAATTGAAAAGCTCTTTCTCGTCAGTTAATTGTCTGTTTGGAAATGGCTTCATCAAATCTCCTCTCAATGGAAATGCATCATCTGCTACGAATGCAAATGGGAGGGCTGTGTCACTGTCTGTATCCTGTGGTGACTCCAGCTTGTCAGCCAGCAGTCTTTTTCCAAATTCAGACGCTCTTTTGCTGACAGGGGTTTCCGGAAATTGGTAGTTCGCTTCTCTATGTAGGGTCCAATTTTGTCCAACAGGAGCTGAAATGTGGAGGGTCTCATCCGGATATATTTCAGGCATTTTTCTTCGTCTGAAAGGATTTCTGCCATCAGGTGATGGTATTCACCATATATATGTGTCTCTCTTTTTATTCACGGCGGGATCGTCTCCTGTTATGGAGCCATGAAAGCATCAACAATTGAAGAACCTCTTTAGCCATCCTCATTGACTGACACGTGTCTGAATGAACCGACTGAACCGAAAGACGCAGCCACTGTGTTTCTTAGAAAAGAAGTCGGAACAGACGCGGCGAGTAACTTTAAAGTGCATCATCAAGGCTGCGGCCACTGTGTCTGCGCACTTACAACGCCGAAAAAGTGGGAAGGGCGTCTCGCTGACAACTCACGACCGCAGTGCTTTCTTGTTGTATCTCCATTTTTAACAGTGAAAATGTGACTTCTTCAGCTCACTCTTTGTTGTGAACTGGTTTCACTGTTATTAAAAATGGAGATGTGACAAGAAAACACTGAGGTCGCTAACTCTTAATTCTCAATGCCGTCTCGCCGTTGCCAACTCGAGTTGAGCGGTGTGCGTGACGTCTCCAGACTAATTACGATTTTGAAATCAGCATCGTCAAATTAGGGTGGCATCCGTGCAGAATTACATTTTAAGCAACGTTTAAGGAATTTTGAGTTTTTTAAATACCCAAACATATGCTTCATAAATACCAGCTGTGTTGTGTAATATTTTCCTATATCTTGATCTAGGCTTTAGGCTCCCAATATGCGGAGTCTAGCAGACACCAACTTGCGCCTGTCCGCGTCTATCTTCAGACGCTTAAGTTTCGGCGTTCTCTGTTTTCGCCCTCCGGTTTGAGCCGCATTCCTTATTACACGTTACGACTGGCCGTACGGCCCAGAAACCTGTCCGGTCGGCCTGTACGTATAAGGGCGATCACATAGAGAAAGCCGTTCGGTCACGCTCACGTAAGCGCACTGACCGAGGCAGTGAAATTTAAAAAATCCCCAAATGAAAACCGTTGCCTCCCACAAAGATAAAGCTGTCATTGAGGATGCGTCAGTGAGGAGCGGCACTGACGTTTCTCGCGGAATCCAAACTAGAACATTATTTCCAAGGCCTTCCGAAGCTGTCTGTGGCCTTGTTTTCACGTTGCGGTTGTACCAAGGCAGTAGCTTCTACTTACGCCTACAGTTTGATGTAGCAAGTGATTCAAACATGCGCTCATATCATCAGTGTACGTTAGAACTCCCATCTGGGACAAAAGTAACAAAGTCCACATTGTACATGTAGTTTTACTGGTAGGATACGAATACAGTGTTATTGAACGTGGTACAATTAACACGAAATAGCATAATGATGATAATGATGATGATGACATTTATAGAACCGCACGATGTCACTCCCCCCCCC